CTTCATAAGGTGGCTTTTTTATACTCACTTAGTAACTATTATTAAAAGCAAATTCCATTAATGGTAAATATTTTTTCCATCTACCCGACCATTCAAGTACACAATCCCTTAATATATCCTTTAACACATGTTTTACCCTCTCTGTCGCCCATCACTCTAAGGTTGAAAAATAGCCTAGTACCTATTACTTCATATAAACTCTTTCCAAAGTTCAATATGAACCTCGAATCCCTATTAGATACAATAGATACCGGTACTTCATATAACCTTATTAACTCTCTCATATATAATTCGAATGCTTGGGTCATACTAAAAGTCACCTTCATCAATAAAAAATAACCGAGACTTCATCAACCTATCTACAATGATCCTTATGACATTAGATCTTCTTTCGACCTTAGTAAATCCACTACAAAATTCATAGTTTTATGCTTCTATTTCTATTCGAGTATTACCAAAAGTCATAATAAATCCGATGGTCTTTGATGCTCGGTCTTTACTCGTCGACAAGTGAAGCATTTAGCTACATATTTAATTATGTTTTTCTTTATTTCTCTTAACTAATACACCAATTTCAAATCATGATACATCTTAATTTGAATTTTTGTATGTTTGTGTGTATTAAAATGAGTTTTTCTCTAAACAAGTTTATTGATGTCATTTATATCATTTTGAGGTGTTTTTGGACAAAAAATGTGATTGGATTTAGGTTTAAAGAGGCTAGAAATTAAGAACCTATTTTTTCGACGATGTTTCTAGCGAACTACGAGTTCATTAGAAATTGCAATGTCTAGTTTTTTTTTTTTTTTTGGCGGAGTTTAACTTGTTCGAGCCTAGAACTAAGCCAAAGTGCATAGAGCCGTCTCTTTGGCCATTTTTTGGGAAAAATTATGAAAGATTGAACATTTTTTTTTATGTGTTTCTTATGTAGTTTGATGATGATTAATATATATGATATATTTTTAGATAATTTGTCGGATGGTAGCATGCTTGAATTCTCCAAAATAATCGAATTATTTTTTTCCTAGACCTAATTATTAGACCGTAGCTAGGGTAAGTTAGGGTCGATCCTATAAAGAATTGGTTCAAACAATTATTTAGATATTTGATTGTTTTACAAGAAAAGAAAATAAAAAGGGGTTTGACATTCAATTCTTTGATGAACAAATAAAGACAAGCAAGTATAATAGATTAAAAATAATGGAATTAATAATTGGTTCTTGGTTTAATCTCCACTTTCTCACTTAATGAATATAATCACAATAAGCTATTCAACTTTTCTTGTGAAATTATTGATCCTAGATAACACTAAGCTATGTTATCTAAATTTCTCTTGAGTATCATCATTGAAACAAGTTCTTCAATTCGATTCTAACCATAACATAACTTAGAATAAGCTCACTAAATTTAATGCATAATAGCTTTAAAAGCTCGGAAAATTAGATCAATCTAAGCAATAATCTCATAAGGTTGGATTATTTAACCTAGTTTATGTTATTCATAGTGACGAAGACAAAAACTTGTCCATAATCATCTACCATTATTCGTTACTAAATGATTAGAAATAGGACAATTACACATATCATAATTTCTAGATCTAGCAATAGAAATCTATAAAAATTAATCTAGTTGGCCAAACCAAATTAATAAAATAGAAATCATAAATCAAATAAAGTCGAATAACATAATAAATTTTAGTAATGAGAGAAGAAGAAAAACGTTACTAGATTACACCATTGATATGCCTATGAGAGCTTCGAAATCGCTTTGAACCGATACAAACAATGTAGCCACACATGCTAGTCGAGCAAACAAAACAATGGTATAGTCCGTTTCCCAAAAGAAAAAAAAAACTAACTCTAATTGCTCGTCACCTCATCAAACCTAAACACATACACACACACACAAGGTTACATATTTTGCTAGATTAGGAGATAACACATACGGCCTTGTGACACACAAGCGAGTAACTTCATGTTTGTAAGTCTCGACCTAGACGCATGATCGTGTGTCCTTTGTTGCATAGCTTGTGTTCTCCTTTGACAACATGACATACGAGCATAAACGTCTTCATATAGCTATGCATGTTCTTGTGAGAAATGAGCTTGAATAGACTTGGTACCCATCATGAACTTAGGTCTGGACTTATTAGCTTTTCTGCTATTTTTTTACAAAACCAATAAACATCATATTATCCTTAATCAGCTTAATAAGATAGATAATGTATTAATAAGTTTAATGTAAAATGAAATAAAAATGTTATAAATTATGCACTGATCATCTAAGATATTTTTTAGTGTTTGTCATTTTATGTTGCATACTTTTAATCCACTAAATATAATTATGATGTATAAAATTTTTTATTAAATAATCAATTTTATTGAAAATTCGCTATGCATCTATACACATAACACTAAGATAAAGCATTTGCTATTATTCTTTTAATATTATAAGATAAATGTCTTTGAAATATATATTTTTTAAGAATCATTAAATCATTCAAATATAGCTTTTTATGCTAACAATATCGATTATCTTATAAATAAATATATATAAATTAAATTCATATAGTTTCAAAAAATAATCTTCTCATCATCATTGGATAATAATAAAAATTTATTTTTTTATTTGTTAATTTTTGTACAAGTCTATACATTAATTGTAGCTTTATTTTTTTATATAAAATCTTATGAAAAATATATTTTTAAAGTTTTTTTTGAATTTGGAATTAATATTCCAGCTTAAACTATTATAATTTTTTTTATTTAAGAATCATTACATAAAAAAATGAATCATGTTTTTTTAAGTAGAAATTTATGAAAAATATAAGAAAAAATTAATTAAATAGAAAATTTTAATTAAAAAATAAAAAATTTTAAAATAAATTTATTACATGTCGACTTGTAGTATAGCACATGCAACCCACTAATCATTATTAATAAATAATAAATCACAACTAAATTCTGTATGGAGAGCCATCGTTGGAATTTTTGTTTTTAGGAGAAAAAGGATGCTTTTAGTTTCCAAAAAAAAAAAAAAAATCACTTATTTGTAATTGAATGGACTGAAATTTCTATTAAATGGTATAAAGAACTTTGCAGCAAAATGACTCGATATACCATTTTTTTATTGAATACATATATTGGTTGCTCACGCTATGCTGAAAACCAGATCTGAACAAATAAAATTATTGAATTTTATATATTTTTCTTAAATTTCATATTTAAAAAAAATTAATTTTTTCTTCTTATTTATTTATTCTTAAATAAAAACTTACAGTAATATAAATAGAAAATTCAATGTAAAAGTTAAAAAAATGCTTTAATAATTTTTTCATAAGATTGCATCGAAAAGAATAAAGAAAAATTTAATATAAAATTTTTTATAAAAATTAACAATTTTTTTTATTCTTATTTAATGTTTATGGGAAGATTTTTTTTTTTGAAAGTATGTAAATTTTATTTATATATATTTATTAACAAAATTGTCAATAATATTAGCATAAAAGGCTGTATTTGAATAATTGGATAATTCTTCCAAAATATTATTTAACTTATTTTATATGAGAAAATTTAATTTCAGAATATGAAAAATAATAAATAATTGGTGTTAAGTGTGAAGATACATAGCTAATTTTCAATAAAATAAATGATACACACACACACAAACACACATTATCATTATACCTAGTAGATTAAGTGTTCATAGCATATATATATATATATATTTTAAAAAAACCTAAATTGTAAAGAATATATTAAAGTTAACAAATTGAAATAAAGAAATATTACAAAATTGATTCCAATATATATATATCCAACAAAACTACTCTTATTTAAAAATCATAAGAATCCATGATAATAACATACTTAAAAAAGATAAAATAATCATGCTCTAATTTTTTTTCAAAATCCATATATATAAAAATGTATAATAAATTAATAACCCACTAATAAAATGTATTGTAGATTATAGTAATAATTGTGAATAATGAAGATATGGATTAAAATAATAATTGTGAAAACATTGGGGGGACTAAAATGTAATAATATGTATAATTTGAATCTACTTGCAGTGAATCTAAGGTGAATGAATGACCAGAAATGATGATAAATGATGCAAGGGCCTAAAGGAGTGAATATGGGTGTGCATAAACAGTAATTATGAATAGTAAATCTCTAATATCTTTTAGTTTTTAGTATAAATAAATATATATATCTAACAAAACTACTCTTATTTAAAAATTATAAGAATCCATGATAATAACGTACTTAAAAAAAAAAAATCATGCTCTAATTTTTTTTTCAAAATCTATATATATAAAAATGTATCATACCCACTAATAAAATGTATTGTAGATTATAGTAATAACTGTGAATAGTAAAGATGTGGATTAAAATAATAATTGTAGAAACAGTGGGGGACTAAAATGTAATAGTATGTATAATTTGAATATACTTGCAGTGAATCTAAGGTGAAAGAACGACCAGAAATGATGATAAATGATTCAAGGTCCTAAAGGAGTGAATAGTGAATATGGGTGTGCATGAACGTAATTGTGAATAGTATACCTCTCATAGTATAAATATAAATTTAACCACAAAATAAAATACTCCTGGCTCCTGCGTAAGCAAATATTGAAGTTTTAGTACCTTTACAAAACGTCTCAATTTTGGACGTCGTAGAAGACTTGATTGATCTCCTAGTCAAAATTTGGGGAAGGATTGCAAGTCTTTTTACGCTTGATCTCTTATTGAGATTGAGACGTCTTATCCAATTCGTCCTGTAGAAAGCGAAAGACGTATTTTGACCCCCGCCCCTCTTTTCCTTATGGCCACCAAGCTTCGGAGAAAGGGCCATCACAACAAATCCATAAAAGTCAGCTTGCGACTCTGCTTTCTCTCTTCTATATATATAGGAAAATCCTCTCTGGTTTCTAACTACAATCTCAGCGCCATCTCATAACCAAATTAAGCTATATACAGAGAAAACATAGGATAATGGCTGACAACCATACCTCAAGTCTTGCTTTTGAAAAAGAAAGGTTAGTTTAAATCTCTTCGCTTTTTTTTTTCCTCCAAGCTTCTAAAAGTGAATTATGTTGAATATTTACTAGTAAAAAACCAAACTTTTACTAACCTCAGCAACATGGAAAAATATAATGTTGAATATTACCATGTCTAAAACAATTTTATTTCTCTGTGATGACAGCATCGTTATTGTGCAACATGGAATCTTTGGCCTCATCATTGAGACATTGAACAACCAGATCCAAGTGAAGTACCAATCAGTCCAAGTGTCTCCCTTTGACACACACCGTGTCATCATGTTCATTTTCCTCCTGGCTCTATTTGTATATGCCACAGCATCGGTGGTCGAGGTTATGCTCCGAGCTTGTGAATCAATTTACGATAGATTTGTTGGCAATATCCTCCTCTTTGCCAGTGGCTCTGCTGCAATTTTGCTTCTAGCAACTCTTGCTCCAATTTTGGGGTGCATCATTTCTGTGCTGTGGATCTGTTTTTTTGTGAAAATAGCATACGAATCATCCCAAAGAGTTGCATAGCGTTTTATGCCCAACAATTGATAAGATTCTCTACAAGTTGACCGGTCTAATTGGAAGTGTGAGATGCCTTATAGAAGAACCTAATCAGCCATGACTATAGGTCCTATTACAGTCTTGGGATATGAACATATAAATGTTGTTGTAAGTTGTAACACATGTCTTTGTATTTTGAAGATAATATATGTTTTTTTTTATTGGATTAATGGGTAAGTGAATATGTGTTTTACAATAGGGATTTGATTGGTTTTAAGGAATTTTCTTGTCCACGTTATATGGAAATAGAAATAGCATAAATTTTATGTGGCTCTTTTTAATTGGACTTTTTTGCCATAGCATGACATGCTTCCCAAAAGTTTTGATGGCCTAAAAATTATGGGCCCAAATACAAAGTTTATGTTAGTTAAACCGAGCAAATTACAATATTTCTCGATCATCGTCGTTAGTGGTGATCATTCGGTTAAACGGTTCGGTTAAGCATAATTCGATTTGGTTTTCGGTTAATCGAATTAAGAAAAATAAAAACCAAAACCAAATCAAAATTAATTACGTTAATTCGGTTTGTAACCAAATTATTTCGGTTTGGTATCGAAATAATTCGGTTTTAACCGAACATTTTTGTTGTGAAAAAAGGTCCCGCCCTAGTTTCTCGAGTGAAAAAAGGCACACACACTAATAGAAATTAGAAATTCCTTTTATCCATCTTTTGGCCCTCCGCATTTCCAATTGAGAACCGCCTTATAGCCTTAGTAAGTGTATGGCATATACTTAGACACTTAGATGGAGAACTACCTTACTCAAGCAAATAGCCAAATATTAAGTGAATTCTCCTAGTCCGTAATTCAAAAGCAATATCATATTCATATGCAAATAGGTCGGGCCATGGATGACTCATCTCACCACCGGCCGGTGGCTTTAAACACAAGATTGAAGCATCTAGAAAGTCATATAAATATGTATCATTTGGATAAATACAAAAAAAAAAAAAGTAGAATTTAGTTATTATATCGTATCCGGACAACTCCGGCTAATGTTCTATATGGTTATTTTTAATCCGAGTTTCAACAAAAACTAGAGAAAAAGAACAAAACTTTAAGTTGTTGGATCAGTATGGCATTCATCAAATTTGTCCCTATAACAAGAACATGGAGAGGAAAAAGAAATAAAATATGATGATAATGTATATAAACATCTATAACCAAATTATGTATATATGTTGTGGCCTATCTCACTTAAAATCCGTTCCTATAAGCACCTGTTGAGATGTAGAAAATAAATCAAATCATAAAGATTTGAATTGTCCATTGGTGATAAATTCCCAATTTAGCCGACTAACTTTTATTTCTTGATGACACAAAAAACAATTACATAACTCTTAGTTGCACTTGTCTTATTTAGCTCCATTATGCCATTTAATCACCGAAAAATCCAACATGGAAACGAAACATAGATTATTTTAAAAATGGCTAGACCCATGATTGAAAAAGAAACATGATTCGAAAAAGGACGAGTACTTGCAGAGATCATTTAGAAGTAAAACTTTTCTTCACATCCTTTCTTCCTCTTTAAAATCAAACAAGTCATGAAGTCAAAAATCTTACTCGAAGAAACTAGCAATGATATATCACGAAAAATCAAAATTTTAAATTTTTAGTAAGTACCATCCAAGAGAGATTGAATTACATAGAAAAAAACTATGTCGGGAGTTAAAAGTACCGAAGTGCGGTTGTAGGCTATAAAACAAGTAGTATCTTGATTATCGGCAGCAACTTTTGGTAACCCATTAGAACATGTACACATCCACATACCTTCACTTTGTCCACCACCTTCACTTTATACAAGCATGTTGTTCGCATTACCTTTAACCAAGAAGTCTAGACTCCGGTGGGCGAAGGCGGAAGCACCGGAAGGCGGAAGCTGCAAAAGCACCGGATTGTGGACTACTTGAGAAAGTTTCAATTGGCACTTCTATTAGTAAAAGATTAGAAATAATGGAAACTGTAGAACTAAAAATAGATTTTAAAGTTTCAATTGGCACTACTAATTGCTTTATTCTTTTGTTTCAAGTCGAACTAAACAACCTTGGACTTCTTAAAAACTACACATAATTTCAATAGTAAATATTAAATTAAATCTTCATTAACGAAGCAACATTTGTTAGACCCAAAAGAAATTTTATAACCAAGTTCATTTAGAGTTAAATGCTTATGGTTTCATCACCGTGTAATGAAGGAATCCTAAGCTCGGCTACAAAGTTAATGACAATAAGCACTACGCCATAGCTCGTAAGGATTGCATTTATGATTTACCCAAGTTCAATAAGTAACCGAGTACCAAATTAGTAAATTGCATTTACCCAAACCATTTTACCTTAATGATAATCTATGCCCAATACATTGGTGTTATCGGTAAAAAAAAAGAAAATAAATAAAAGAGATTGACCTTGAGAGAGCTCACAAGTAGAGGAGGATATGAAAATTACACGAGGCGACTCGAGATCGGAGAACATGATAGAGACTTAGAGAGGTGGGTTACCTGTGTTGTGACTTGAGATGGGTGAGCAAACGGTGGGTGGTGAATTTTAGAATTTAGAGGAGAACCGGTGCTTGAAGGATCGGAAGAAGACTGGACTAGAGTGGAGAGTGGAGAAAAAGGTACCGAAGTCGAAGGAGATTACGGAAGAAGACCTAGTGGCGGTGGTTAGTGAGCGCGAGTGTGAGACGATGATGATTGATTTCAATAAACAAGAAAGTCAAAAGAAAGAGTTCAACGAGTGAAACGAGAGTCGAAGATTGAAAATTTAGGTTAGCTAGCTTAGGGTTAGGGATTTAGAAATTAGAATTAGGAATTTTCATTAGTTTGGTTTTTGGTTCAAACTATTTTTTTTCGAAACCGAACCGAACCGAAATAATTTTGGTTTTTTTGGTTCGATTATAAATTGTATATTTCTAAATTTAAAACTGAACCAAATTCAATAATTTGGTCCAATTTATTTGGTTTTTGGTTAATCGAACCGTTTGATCATCCCTAATCGCCATCGCGATATGTAGCTCCCTTCTTGATGTTTTATGAAATTATCAAAAAGTTCTTTCAACCCAAAAAAAAAAAGAAACATATGTTGGTTAGATGTATTTTGAAATACGAAAAAATAGAAATTAGTATAAATATCTCACATTGAAAAAGAACCAACAAACTAAGATGCTTATATATAAAATGAATGAGTCAATTATAAATTAGTCCCTCTAGTTTTTTTTTAAAAAACACATTAATTAGTCCTTTTCATTTTAAAAAATATTATTTAATCCTTTAATTAGTTTTGAATATGATTAGCTTACTATTATTTTTATTCTCCAAGATCTCTTATTTTCTCATCAATTTTTCTATATTTTTTATCTTTTATATTTTTTTCTATTTATTAAAACAAAAAATATACATAAATTATCAAAACTATCACATAATAAATAGTGATTTATGAGAAAATAAATAATAATTACTTTTCAATTGCTTCATCCCTTTTGGTTATTTTTATTGATTAGTAATCATCGAATTCCCCGCTCTAATTTTGTTTTTTAAAAAATGTTCCAATTCGAGACTTCTTAGGATAGGAAGGATACTAATATGAGTTGAGCTATAACTCTTTATTTCGTTGTAACATTCTTTTACTCAAAAAATAAAATAAAATAAAATAAAATCCACTCGATGGTAAATGTTAAAATTAAAATAGGTCATTTAAAAAAAATATATAATAAGAAAATGAGAATACTATGCATAAAATAATGTGGTTTGCTCTCGAGAAAAAAAAATCATATTTATGACTTTGGAAAACTTATAATGATCTTGTTTTAAAATCTAAAAAATCATTTAAATAGAAGCAAAATCTCAATGCATAAAATTTGTTATAAATCTACTAGTTAGGTCTGGTGATATTATAAATTAAATATAAGTAGGTTCAGTTTGGAAGGATTTTTTTAATCTAGAATGATTTGCATCTATAGTTATCTTATATTTGATGTATTGGAGGAAAGCAAAATTTGATCTATAACTCCTAGTTTTAAAGATATAGAAAACCTCTTAAATTACCTAGTTATAAATTAGCAATCATCAAATTTCTCCATTTTAATTTTTTCTTTAAGGTTCATATTCCAAACCTCTTAGGAAAGAAAGGGTACTCATATGAGTTCAACTGCAACTCCTTATTGCGTTGGAATGCTCTTTCACTTAGGAAAAAAAAACCCACCATGATGACAAATATCAAAATTAAAATAGCTCATTAGAAAAATAAAGAAATAAAATGTAATAAGAAAATGAGAATACTATGAATAAAATAGTGTGGTTTACTTGTGAAAAAAAAAAGCATCATATTTATGACTTTGTAAAACTTATAATGACCTTGTTTTGAAATCTAAAAAAGTCATTTGAATATAAGAAAAATCTCAACGGATAAAATTTGTTATAAATATATGATTTAGGTTTGAAGTTACGGGACTTCCGATGGGACTCCAAAAATTATTTATTTATTATTAAATTATTTATGATTTATTCTGAAATGTGGGTTATTATTGATTTTGAGAGTCACCACCTAGTATTGTAGGAACTAGGAATCTAAAAATAACATTGGTTTAGAGACTCTAAATTAAGGAGTTGGTTACGCTTTTGAAAAGATATCGATCACCCGAAATCGCCATTTTCTAAGAAAGGTACCGTGTCTAGTTTAATCCTAAATTTATCTCCTAAGGTGTTTTGTTTGTGCCCAATTATTTCTATTCAAACTCTATTTTTTTTTTAATTTTCCTAGGCTAATTTAATTTTTTCTTTTTTATTTGTGACATCATATTGAACCAATCATCATACCCTTTCGTTGGAAGACACATCGGTTCAACAACGGATCTACTTTAATTCTCGACATAACCTCGTATGTCGAAGAACGATCTAATTATTAAAGTGATTTTTTAGCTAACAACGATCCTTATTAGATAAAACATTTTGTTAAATTTTTTCTTAACATTTTCTATCTTTTATTATTTTTTCTATTGTTTTGATGTTGTTTGTTTGTTTGTTTTTTTTTTAATTTTAATTATTGATTATTGGTGAGGAATCATCATTAGTCTATAAAAATTAGGAGACCCGACAATTCGTTCACCAGTTAATCATCTATCATAATTATTAACATAAAACCTAACTAATTTAATATTTTTATTAAATGAATAAACACATAAATCAACAATTCAAAGAGATTAAATTCAAACTAGGCATGAAAATAAAAGCATATATTAAAAATAAACTTAGGCATGAGTCAATAGGACAAAAGGCTAAAAATGGGGTGATTGGGCCTTTTGGGCCCACTAGGCTTTCGACTCAAGCATCTCCCTCTCTTTCTTCTCTTTCTTCTTTTTCCTTCTAGGATGAGCTAACTCTAGTTGATCTTATTTTATTTTTTGGGCTAGGCTATACCCAACCCATTTTCTTTTCTTTCCCATTTCGAGTCGAGCATGGACCTAACCCTATCCTCCTTTCTCTCTTTCTTCTCTTCTTTCCTTTCTCTTCTTTCTTAGTTCCTCATTTCTTGACCAACTATCCAATTCATTACTCGCCTTAAAGGTTTAATTCGTTGGTTGGAAATTTCATACTCTAACGAATCAATAATGATTTCTAAACTTGTTGATCCCTTCTTAGTTCATTCTTCTAGGTTAGTTGGATAGATTTGAATCATTGGATTCAATCGATGACGATGACAATGTCCCTACCATTTTCCCTTTACTCGAACAAACATGAGATAAAACTGATTAAATATTGATGAAGGATGTTCAAGATTACCTAAAGGAAGCTTGGATGATTGGAATGGGATTGAAAGACAAAATAGGACTATTTTACATTTCCTTTGCTTGCATGTGGTGTATGATGATCGATGGAATGATTTGGTGATCGTTGTATAGTCCGGAGTAGGTTGTTATTATGGTTGAGGACTCTTAATCGGTTGAATAGAACAATTTCTAGTTTTTCTCAAAATCCATATTACTTGAGTGAACCTAGAACCTCCAATAATAGTGAACGATGAGGATGATCGAAGGGTTAATTTGAGGACAATCGAATGATCTTGAGTTTGTTTTTAAGAAGATTAAGGACTCATAGATGATTGTAGAGTGATTTTAGGTGTTTTTCAAAACTCAAAAAGTTTGAATGAACCCATAAATTCAAAAAAAAAAAAAAAAGACCTAGAAATTAAAGATGAAAACCTAGGAGTTCAAGAGTTGCCCAAAAATTCAAGCTAAAAGCCCAAAAATTCAAGCTAGAAACCCAAAAATTCAAGAGCTATCCAAAAAAAGCCAAAAACCCTAAAAATATTAATCACTCAATTTCTTTTCCTTTCACTTTCTCGCTCTTGATTTCCTTTTTTCTCACTCCAATCCCCATTCTCCTTTAACCTCTAAATACTCTATTTATAACCAATCCTCTCCACTCATTATGTGTTTTTTCCTCCAAAATCGTTTCCTTCAAAAATCCTTTCTCCTTTTTATTATTCGATCTAATGCTTTTAATTCTCTTTAAATTTTACATTGTCACTTGGGGACTAAGGGCTTGCATTGTTGAGTTGGCATAAAAAATTTAATTCGATTAAGAAACTAGTATCAATCAAACTTTTGTAGGGTGACGTTGGATGTGAAGGTAACGATTTTGGGCAAAAATAGGGAAAATGAGCAAAACTAACTAGAGTCGTCACCTAATATTATGATTACTAGGAAACCCTATGATCGGTCTATTTAGAGTTCGGATAAGGGGTTTATTACGTGTAGGAAAGATAAAAAAATCATCCTACCTTATCTAACCTAAGGTAAGTCGCATTTCATACAAAACTAACTTGATTTTTTATTTTTAATGATGAAAGATCGTATCTATTTGGGACTTCGTTGGTCAAAAATCTTATCCTCACTCTATAATACCTGGCTAGAAAATG